GACGTGTGCTCTTCCGATCTTATTAGACTCTTAATGCCTGATTTATTATTTCCGGATTATCGTTTCTTAGATTAAAGAGTCTTTATATAGTATATGTCAATTTTAAAATAAATTAACTTTCAATATCAGGGGCTTTCGATATGGAGTCACGTTTACTTTCTAAAGGGATAAAATTAAATTTAAAAAATTCAAAAAATTTCCCTGAGAACCAGTAAAATTCCATGAGAATCCATGATTCCTTTTCAAGAGTAAAAATGAAATTCCCTGAGAATTTCAGGTTTTCCCGGTAGTACCCACCCTGTTAAAATATAAGAATTTAGGAAAAAAGTCTAATGAGTCAAGATTTGTATGCCAGAACTTTGTACATATTTTATAATGTGAACAGTAAACTAACGGACTCTCGCACTTAAAAAAAACAAGAATTGAAGAAAAAGGCTAATGAGAGTCAGGCGTGGTACTTGGTGCGCATAAAATATTTAATTTTTAATAGTTACCTAAGTACAAAATATAAAAAAGTGTACTTATTTACTTGTAACTATTAAAAATTAAATATTTTATGCGCGCCAAGTACCGCGCTTGACTCTCATTAGCCTTTTTCTTCAATTCTTGTTTTTTTAAGTGCGAGAGTCCGTTAGTTTACTGTTCACATTATAAAATGTGTACAAAGTTCTGACATACAAATCTTAATTAAAATCACGTATGCAGATTACCTGCAAATCTTGGGCGGCTTTGTTCCGATCGCCATATCTAAGATAACGCCTGTCCAGCGAGTTCTTGTATTGTATGTAGTTCGCTCCGGGATGTATGTCCGGACCGTTCCTCACCAACTTTCGCATCAGTTCTATGTTCGACGGAGTGACCCTTTCGGGATACGTTAAAGTCTTTGCGACGTGCACAGGTACACCAACCTGCGTAAGGAGATTCCAATATTAATATCGGACACGTCGCAGTGTCGCTATCCGATTTTCGTTCGCGAAACTCACCTGTTCTATTCGGAGATTCGGATCGGGCGAAATTACCGTGCGAGAAGTGAAATCCACACGTTTGCCAGACAAATTACCGCGAAAACGACCCTGCTTCCCCTTCAATCTTTGCACTATACCTCTGCCAAACTTTTTAGGCTGAAAGTATCAACGTGTGTTATTAGAGAATAAAAGGTACAAAAGAAAAGAGGGATCTTTTCGGATCCGTTAAGAGCTTACCTGTATGAGCGGAGGTATCCCAGACAATTCACTATTAATGTAAAGACCGCAATGCAGTTGAAGAAATTCCCAACTTTCCATAAACTTATTTATATTAACGTTCTGCATCTTCTGCTTGCGAATAAAGTCATTGATAAAAGCTATTTCAGATAATTTCATTGTCAGAGAATCTTCATTTGTACCAGCTTTCAGGTCAGACAGAACACTAGGTCTAATACAAATTGGCGGCACGGGAATTCTTGTCAGTATCAAATCTACTGGCACGGCACACTCGGGATTCATTAACAAGAAATACATATCGCCCGTTGGAATTTTATTGAAGAGTTCTCGCACCTTAAAAAATGTTTGAATATTATAAATTATGTAAATTTAACTCAAAACAAGTATATTAAATAAAAATGTAATGATTATTTATATATATATATATATATATATATATATATATATAGGTATATATATATGTATGTATATATGTATGTATGCGTGTGCGTGTGTGTGTACATACATAATTATTTATTTAAAATTAAGCCGTTAGTTAGGTATTATTTTATAATAAATAAAATTATATAGTCTTGACCACAAGTATAGAGCACAATTGATATAAATGTTTTATGTCTAGCATAAATTGCATAAAATGCATAAATTGATATAAATGTTTTATGTCTAGCAAAAATATATTAAAACAGTTTTATTGAAAAATATTTATTTTTACAATTTTAATATTTTGTTAGTCATTCTTTGACTTCTATTACTGCCTTTTCCCCCCCAAAAATGCAATAAATTGAGCTTTATGCTTATGGCCAAGGCTGTCATTTTTTTCATATAAATATATATACAGGGTGTGTGCCAAGTCTGGAAATGTCAAAACAACTTTCGAAGTATAGAACTGAATTTTATAGGGATACAATAGGCTCATAAAATCTATCATTTAAGCTTGGAAACACCCAGCTTAACACCTCCGAGAGCGAAGGGAGGGGATTAGAAAATCTTTGCAAAAAATTATATATATCTTTTTACAGCAACTGTTCGCTTTATGCCAATTGGTTGCTCATCTCATTATTTTTGTGCATAAAAGTATTAAGTATTAAAAGTATTAATTATCAAGAAATCAATAGTTTGTGTTGAGATATTTTCAATTATCATGCTGTATTCAAAATACAGCATGATAAAGTATAAAATATCTCGTAAATTATTGACTTTTCGATTTCTTTATCTTAATAATTCGATATGCAGAAATTATAGAATATTGTTATAAAAAAATTATATTTTGTTTAAAAAAATGAAATGATCTCCATGTGACTTTGAAAATCTTTTTTAGGGAAATTGATTTTATCATCATTTGTCCCTTTTCTCTCTCTCATATTCTACAACTTTTATCTAAAAATTTTTTCGTATCTTGCGCATTTTTCGAGATACATATTTACCTGAAGAAATTAAAATGGAACATCCTGTATATAAAATTCTTATATATATATGTGTGTGTGTGTGTGTGTGTGTGTAAAATTCTTAACATTCTAACCATTAATATATACTTTCTTTGGAATCATACCACGTTCGGATATAGATATTCATCAAATACACATCTGTAGTTTTGATCTATCATATTCTTGTACTCCTTGTCCTGTTCCATCCTTGGAGCTAATTCAGCCAATCTTTCTTGAATAATAGGATCCGTTTTCTTCAGGTTCTTGTACTTCTCATGAACGATCTTGAGAAAACCAGCCTTCTTCACAGGGCCGTTATTTGCTTTGCAGTTCGGACACTCTGCCTTCTTCCTCGCCTTCTCCCAGATCTGCTTGCGCAACGCTTTACGCATTAAGTAATCCAAATTTGGATTTTCTACTCTGCGCAAATAAAGCTTCCTCTCTTCTTGCGTCAGCAAAACGTGACCGCATCTCTGTGGAAATTATAATTCAGTCAGTCCCGGAAGCGTAATTACGTAATTGAATCTCCCGACGAAGTTGCCTGTTACCTTGCAAATCGTCTGCAAAATCTGGATGATAGATCTGAAGTAGCCGACGTGGAAGACCGGCAGTTCCAGATCCTGATACCCAAAATGTCCCACGCAGTCGTTCAGCTTTTTGCCGCATGTTTCGCACTCGACTCCCGTGCTGCTCACTCCCTATGGACAAGGGCGGTCAGTTTTAAGAATTTTGCGCTCAAATGAGAACGAAGGGGATATGTACAATCTTTGGAGTATACCATGCGCCTGTCGAGTGCTCCGTGCAGAACTGGTGTACGATTCGTATCCTCATTGTATATGTTGTTGGAGATCATCTGCACGCTAGACTGCATATACATATTGTGCATGCTGTCCACGCAGAAGGATATATGGGAGCTGGATAAAAAAAAAAAAAGATGTAAAGTGGCAAGATTACGCGTTATACAAGAGGTAAACCGCTAACCAGAATCACGTATGTACACCAATATCCGGTAATGTCCGAGGTGATGCCCAATTTCTGACCAACCGTAATGCCCCACGGATAACATTGGGGAGAGCAATCTTATTATTCAGCGTAATTTACTTAATATTCACACTTTATTACGCGTTGTAAATATGTGTGTGACATAAGACAATTGTCAATTGTTTAAAACGTAATAGTGCCCAGTAATGTACAATTTTTGACTGACCGTAATGCCCCATGAATAACATCATCATGAGGGCTATCTTATTATTTAGCGTAATTTACTTGATATTCACACTTTATTACGTGTTGTAAATATGTGTGTGACATAAGACAATTGTCAATTGTTTAAAACGTAATAGTGCCCAGTAATATCCAATTTCTGACCGACCGTAATGCCCATGGATAACATCATCGTGAGGGCTATCTTATTATTTAGCGTAATTAACTTGATATTCACACTTTATTACGTGTTGTAAATATGTGTGTGACATAAGACAATTGTCAATTGTTTAAAAATAAAACGTAATAGTGCCCAGTAATGCCCAATTTCTGACCGACTGTAATGCCCCACAGATAACATCGGTGAGAGCAATCTTATTATTCAGCATAATTTACTTGATATTCACACTTTATTACGTGTTGTAAATATGTGTGTGACATAAGACAATTGTTAATTGTTTAAAAATAAAACGTTAAAGTGCCCAGTAATAATGCTCAAGAAATATCCAATAATGCCTAGCAATGTCTTGAATCTGTACACTGCAGTGCCCTCAGTGGTTTACCCTTTGACATTATACTTGTGTAATGTTGAAGGATAAACCGCAAGAGATGCAACATGATTTCGCATACAAATTAGCGTTATTTTTTGCCCGAGAGAGAGAGAGAGAGAGAGAGAGATCTCGAAGAGAATAACACTTTACCGGGCCGGTTGTTCTCCCTTCGGTTGAACCATGTGGTAATTTATCTAATATTCTAATGGATAAATACCTGCAATGCTACTGCTCAACAAAATTATTATTATTATATTATTTTTATTCAAGAAATTGCCACACAATTTATTTGAGAAGAAAACAGCCCGGTTCTGTCTTTAAATTCGTTAAAGTAAATAAATTTATACATACACTTCGCTGGCGATGTTAGTCTCCCTGAATTGTTCCTTCACCATTTTGATCCTTGAGCATGTAATACAGCCGCGAATAATCTAATTGATTCTCAGTAGTTCCTCTTTTCTTTAGGTCTATCTCTTTCGATCAAGAATCCAGCAGTGGGCAACTCCATTCATGTTCGAAGAGAAATCTCCATTCCGTAAACACGTGTTCTAACCTAACCTAACCACTGAGAAATTGTTAGAGCTTTTTCTTTCCCACGTGTATATATGTATATATATATATATATATGTGTGTGTGTGTGTGTGTGTGTGTGTGGTGTGTGTATGTATGATGTGTATATTTGTGGCAATCGAGACGAAGGTATTAGTTAACTGTTAAAATGATGCAAAAACTTAGTATGATTAAATTCTTGAGAGAATGGAATTTGCTTTCGCGAAGGAAAATAGCCTAACCTGTCGTGAGAATTCGAGAACGGAGAATGTCGAGAGGGGAGAAACACCAACACGAGGCGATCAGGCGATTTGGAGTGTTGGACGTGTTTGGACTGGTGGACGGACATTAGACATACGGCCCATACGGGCCGGCCGGTGCTGTCGCCCGCCGGTGGCTCTACGCCCCACTTCGTTAGATTAGAATTTAGATTGATTACGATCACAAGACAAGTTCCGATACTTCCGATTTGGCCCATTTCTATCAATGCAGATTGATTTTAATCACGATTTTAAATTGCTCTCTTTATTTTTTCTAATTCGTAAAATCAGAAGAAAATAAAAAGTAATTTAAATCAAGGTTAATGTTAATCTATACATTGATAGAAATGAACATTAATCAATGATTATAATTTTATGACGTAATATATATAAGATATATATCTTATCTTGTTTTAGCAGAATTAAAATATTATCTATAATTATTATAAGGGAATATTATTTTGTCAGCACGGACAGAATTTCGTGTTTGTCTGTTTGAAAAGATTAAATTGGATTAAAAACAAAATGAATTATGTAGTTAAAAATTTTGCTTTTAAAAAAGCAATTCTGCCGATCAATTGAATTAATCGCCGATTAAAGTTTAAAGTTGATTAAAATTCTACCAATTAAGTTGCTCCTTGTTCGCCGTGGGGACTTTTAGGACGCACTGATTGGCTGTCGAAAGGACGGCTCTGGAGTTTTCAGAAATTCCCTATCCTGCGGCCAGTCACGTGCTTGAAAGACTTGTCGTGTGACGAATGAAACTCACTCAATTCGTGGCATTCGCGCCGTTTTGCCGTTTGCGTGTGGCGCGTGTATTTTATGGATCGATTGCTGCTGCGTTTTTGTTGTTTATTGCTGTCGCGTAAGAAACAAAATTCGGCCGATTATGCCGGCGTGACAGTTGCGAGCGGTAATATAAAATTACGCCTTGCGGGCCAAATATCGGATTGAAATACTGCGACAATGCCGCGGGTACGTACAGACTACAGCCGGATGCTGTTAGGTTAATTGCGTTATTGCTCTTATTCCGATTTCAATTCCCCTCCTCCCCCCCCCCCCGAGGCTTCACGACGATCCGCCTAATGCTGCAAATGCTTCGGAGGATTTTTTCCGATTGGTCGATTAGTAATGAAAATTCTTTCTTCTTTTGATTGGTCAATCAAATGCCTCGAAGCATTTGTAGCGTTAGGCGGACAGCACCCCCGCGAACTCGGGAGAGGATCTTTCATGCATTCGTGATTCGTTTCCGCAGGACATTAGATCTTACTTCACGTCGACCGCGACTTCTAAGAAGAGCGAGCCCGTTGTTGCTTCGAAGCCCCAGAAGCGGCGTGTCGTTTTCTCGTCGGACGAGGATGATGAGAAACCGAAGTCGTCCACGAAACGTTCCAAGGTGTTTTATCTCTTGTTATCTGCGTTGCTGTTATCGCTTATTTGTTACAAGGACATAAGTAAAAAAAAATGTCATTTTTAAGTTGCTTGCAGAAAAGGAGTCGAAATAGGGTAACTGTCCCTATTAGTGTGTTCTGAACCTATTAGTGTGTGAACCTTTTATATTTAAATAAGTCATAAAAATAAACTGGTACAAATATATAGACAAGATCGGAAGAGCACACGT